TTACATAAATATGACTATTCATTACTACAACGTAGTGTTGTGGTAACTTAAGTTCAAAACTTGACACGAATTACTAAGATTTCATTACTACTCAAGTAAGTGGTCATATTTTTGTAAATCGTCTTTATTTTGGTCATATTTATGTAATTATTTCTAGGATTAATGTTCTGAACTTCTCCATATAAATTAATAACATTATTTTTTTAATTAACCTATTTTCAATGTGATATCCAAGCATGTCATAAAACTGGAATTAAAGAGTATAAATATTCCTCATAAAACTGTAATTAAAGAGTATAGATATTCCTCATAATTTAATACCAATTACATATTTCTCATGAATTCATACTTCGTATATAAGTATATTGCAAGGCTCCTAAAATATTACAATTGCTTTATGAATTATTAAATTGAATCTTCTATACTTATTACTCCCTCTGACCCATTTAAAGGTTCTCGTCCATTATTGCCCGAACAACGTGCATTGTTCTTAATTTTTTATTTTATATATCTAATTTTTATCAAATTTAGTTTTTTATCAGGTATTATAAAACTTTTAATGCAATTTCTAAATATGTAAATTTTATTTAATAAAAATAATTATATTAATGACAGAGATCACTTAACTTTATGGTCAGTCAAACATCTTAAACCGCGTAAGAACCTTTAAGTGGGACGGCGGGAGTATAAGACATACTAAACGGGTAAATTTAATAGATACTACATGGATAAATATAATATATACTAAACGGGTAAATGGAAATGGTTAAATGATTGTATTAACGGAAATTGTCCTAAATAGGACTAATGAGTTCCTAAAAAGCACAAATAGGACTACTACTTTTAAAATTCCCTAAATAGGACTAAACAATGATTTTCTACCCTAAATACCCCTAAGAGTATTAATTCATAATGAAATGCTTTAATTCATAATAAAATCATAAAAAACGTTAAAAAAAATTTTAAAAACATAAAAAAATTATAAAAAATTTATAAACATTTATAAAATAAAAAAATTAATTTTTTATTTTTAAAATTTTTTTAAAAATATAATAAAAAATAGTAAAAATCCATAAAAAAATGAAAAAAAATATGGATACCTTTCCCACCGCCTCCCGCCGCCTCCCAGCACCACCACCTCCGATTGGTGAAATTTCTTCCACTTTTGGTAAAAAAAATGCCATATTTTTCTGAAAATGCCAAAAAGATGGCATAATTACTCTTCAATATGCCAACATTTTCATTCAATATGCCATCATTATGGCATTATTTAAAATGTTGGCATATTTTTCTCCGGTGATGGGAGCTGGTGGTGCTGGGGGTGGCAGGGGTGGCAATTTTTTTTTTAATTTTATGATTTTCTTTTTTTTTTTTTCTTTTTTTTTTCTTTTTTTTTCTTTTTTTTTTTTAAAAATAAATTTTTTTATTAATTTTCTATTATTTTTTTACGATTTTTAGTATTTTTATTAATTTTTTTATGATTTTATTATTAATTAAAACATTTTACAAGTTACAAGAGTATATTTGTCCAAACACACATAAATAGTCCTATTAAGGGAATTTAAAAAATGTAGTCCTATTTGTGCAATTTTTTCACTTTTTAGTCCTATTTAGGGAATTGACTCTTGTATTAAAACTATTAAATGGAAAGTAGGTAAATGATTAGATTTGTAAACGGCAATTGTGTTCCTAACAGCATTTCTTATCAACTATACCTATTATAAACGGCAATAGTAATAAATGGTAAAGTGAAAATAGTTGTAATCAAATGTGAATAAATAGGGAAAGTTCCCGAAATAGGACTAAAAAAGTTTGAAAATTCCAAAACAGGACTGTCATGTTTTTATTCCCAAAATAGGACTAATTACTGCCAAGTTTGGAAAATACTGTCATGTTTGACGACTGGTACTGCCAAAACATGACAGTAATTAATCCTATTTTCGAAATAAAAACATGGAAGTCCTATTTTGGAATTTTCAAACTTTTTTAGTCTTATTTCGGGTAATATCTCGAATAAATATTATAGTGGCATGTGGCAAAGAATAAATAATACTACCTCTGTCCCTTTTTTTTTAGCCAACTTTAACTTTTTCCTGTCAAAGATGATAAACTTTGATCCATTATTTTAACTAATATATGTATGTAAAGGTTAATAAATTTATACTTTTATGATAATATTTTCAACAGAGAAAATTTTCATATAATTTTCATATTATCAATATTACCGTGTATAAATATATAATCGATCAAAGTTGAACAATTTTGACTTGAAAAATAGTGTTTGGCTAAATAAAAAGGGACGGAGGGAGTAGAATGACACATGACATGAATGTGACTCTCAATTGTATAATATATAGATATAGATATAGATATTCTATGCTACTAAAACCAAAACCGAATGAAAAACATTGAAGAGGTTGAAGGTAATATTTTAAAAAGGAAAATTGTCCTAAATAAGATTAAACGAATTTGCGTATATCATAATAGGACTAACATGTTTTTATTCTCTAAATAAGAGTAATTACTGCCATGTTTTGCGTATATCATAATAAGAATTGAAACATGGCAGTATTTTTCAAACTTGATAACAATCACTCATATATAAGAAATATGAAACATTTGTTCCCCAATTTTGGGAATTTTCCTTTTAAAAATATACTACGTATGAAACAAACATACACTCCGCGTAATGCAAATTTTCAAATTAAGAGGAGTTTACCGAAGAAAGAGTATAAGATTAGATCTTTAGTGATAAATCCCTCCATCTGGACACTTAGAAAAATACGAGTTCTTACATACACAGTTAATTACTACGTAGGAAAAATATTTCCAATTGGGTACTGGGTAGTGCCTTCGCGGTTTTATGACCACATAATTTATGTTGTGTGGTAACAAAAAGCTGCAGAATACTACGGGTAGTTGTGTACTTTATTCAGATTACCGAGCATAAGTAAAAAAACACAAGCTTAGTACTAGTCTTAATGATTTCATGACAATTGAAATCATTTAATCCGTATAAAAAAGGTATAGAACAAAGTTTGAATTTCAGGATGAAACTACTTCCACAAACACAAAACTAATGAATGAAACAAGGAAAATTACAATTTTACACAAAATTAGTACACAAAATGTACAGACCCCCTAGTTTCCTATATACACAAACAGTTCGTTTAAAAAAATCAATAATTGTATGCTCAAATTCCCCGTGTACATAGGTTGTGTACATTTGTGGACAAATTTTGTATGAAACCAGAATTACCCATGAAATAATGAACCTAAAGCCGCTGGACTCAGCTAACAGCAGAACAGTACATCACCAAGGCACAACATCTGGCACTTATCTGAATTGCACAAATTGTGATCTTTTTTGTCCAAACGGCACAACTCACAGATTGGCTAGATATGAAGGATTGGCATCCAACTCAGCAGTAGGGTTGTAAACGAATCAAATAATTTTTGCTCGATTCGCGATTCGAATTCGTATCACACTATTCGAATTTGAAAAATTCAAATACAAATACAAATAAGAATACTAAATTTGATTCGAATTGTTATCAAATACAAATAAGAATATCAGTGTATTCGATTCGAATATTAATCAAATATATTCGATTAATGATAGTGATATTATTATAATAATAATATTAATAATAATAGTAATAACACTATAATAACTTTTAAAAGATAGCTATACACTCAAAGGGTAGTCCATATATACATTTATGTATACAAATTTCAAGCGCATTTGTAATAAATCAGAAGTATCATACGGAGTAAGGATTGTAAATAAGGCAAATAATTTTATTTTCATTCGTGGTTTGGATTCAAAAAATATGATTTAAATTTGAAAATATAGAATATAAATACGAATACAAATCAGATTTTTGGTTCAAGTACGAATACAAATAATTATGTATTCGATTTAAAGCATAAAATTAGAGGCGTTTGACTACGATATACGAAATATACAATTATCAACTTGTTTCACACATTATAAGTATAATTTCTAATATGTGTGTTAGTGTTTATCGTATAATGGATCGATACATTTATAGGTTGTGCACAATATACTAAAGTCAATCAATTTTATGATTAATAAATATAAATTTATAAATGTATCGATCCATTAAATTTCAAAGAAAAATGTACTTTTTAAAAATTAAATTTTAAAAACACATATTACGTCATAGCATGCATTTATAAGAAAATTGCTTTAAAGTGATATTTGACTAATATTTAACTTATGCTCAAATCGATTCGATATTCGTATATGATTCGTTAAATATTCGTATTGTTAAACAAATACAAATACAAATCGAAATTAATATTCGTTTCATATTTGAATTCGGATTCGTATTCGAAAAAATTAAACAAATACAAATACAAAATCTCACTATTCGACTCGATTCGGTTCGTATACAACCCTACTCAGCAGTATGTCTCAACCACTGGAACATGCATTGTAGCTTACAACCCTGACAGTTTCAACCCACAACAAGCTCCCAGAATCTAACACGCTTAGAGCATCCACATTGTTTAGATTATTTAGAGTTTAATTGGATGATGTGTAAGATTGTTTTAAAGATTATCATTGTGAGTGAGGGATTATTTAGAGAGATTATTGAAAAAGATAATCCGGTATCAAGATTTGAATCCCGGATTATTTTAGGTTTTAGTTAAATTTCATTTAATGCATGGTCTAGAAAAACTAAATTATTTGATTATCATGGTTGATGGAGAGTTTTAAGATTTGAGATTATTTAAAATTTATTTAATAAATATGAGGTGTCAATGATGTGTCATAGAAAAACCATTTATTTTAAGATCATGAATGGAGATGCTCTTAGTAGCTTTATTACCTTCATGTAGAGTGCATGAGTGCGCGACGCATTACCTCAATAGTGTGTACAAATAGGCTTTGGTGGCCACCTTTCTAGTTTCTAGGATCTAAGACCACAGCACCACACTTGAAGACAATACAAGACATACAATTGTTGAGTTCTTGGATAGCCAATATTTCTGTTACGCATACGTAGTTCCTAATTGGACCAATGCGCAGCAAATTCTTTGTGGTTTTTCATCAAATATAACTAGTTACTGCATCATTAACTACACAAATCATGGTATTGTCGTTTATTTCTTTATAATACAGAGTAATAATAATACAAAAAGTTTCAATATTTTTGCTTGTAATAAGTACAGCTATGTAAGAATGGGAAGCACCTCTATCATTCGACATCAAATCCTCTCTCCTGGAGTTCAGAGATGACTTCATTCCTCATCCTCACCCAGAGCTTGAGGGCTTCCTGCTCCATCTTTTTGTCCTGCAAAGCTTTCTGAAAGTTATAAGAATCTTTATCTGATTCCATAAGCCCCTTAGGCCCAATGGTTGTACCGATCATCCCACCATTGGCAATAAACTCCTCCATCACCAGGATATGGAAACCTCCGCCGCTCATAGAGGTGGGCCAACTCCGTTTCTTCCTTGGGCTTTGGTTTCAGCGTCCACCACCCAAGCAGTGACGTCTCATTATATAGCCACGCCAAGCCAGCTATTGTATAAGTGCAGAGCAAAGCCTTACTCAATTGCTGCCAGAAGTGATAATCCTCCTTTCCTAGCCCTATTTTATCCAGTAGTTTCTCTGTGCGGAATGATTTCAGCATCACAAACCCTACAAAACCATCATATGGATCAGCTACGTTGCATAACTACAAATATGTACCTTAGTTCGGGACTTTCGTCAAGCCCTTGGTGCGCAATGAGATAAAAAATACTCGGAGTATCATTCAAGCTCAGGGACCCTCCCTTCTGCCACTGCTTAATCCATACGATTTTGATACTTTGGGCAACAAAATTACAAGTTTAAAGCTGACAGCAAAGTGTGCTTACCTGTTTTAGCATCTTGAAATCGCTTACGAACCATTGCAATTTTTTCTCACCACTGGAGGTTTGGGGCTTTCTGGGCATATTGAGGAATGGGGTGTTTATTAGATATAGAATTATACTAGTGAAGCTGCATTTAATAAAGAAAAAAATTGTACTCAAGAACTATTCCCTGAATTCATGTTTAATCTTGTAAAAAGAATTTATCATTTTCTATTTTAAGGATACAATTGCAAACTTATATACTTCCTATAATAATAAAAGGATATGTATACATATATAGTTCGTGGAGAAAATTCCGTAAATAGGATTATAACAAAGATGAAGTTGATAAATAAGATTATCATTGTTTTATATTTTCAAAATAGGACTCATTCACTCCTATTTTGAAAAGTTTTAATCAAGTAATTCTTTTAATAGAATTAAATAAGTTCTATTTGCAGATACATAATCTTATTTTTGAACTTTGTCTATGTTTTAGTCTTGTAGTGAACAATTTCTATAGTTTCATACTAATACATTTTTTGGTTAGATGTATTAATTGGGTAATGAAATTTTTTCGAATTTAATGAATGCAGGTGACATGAAAATGTGGTAAAAAATATCAATCACATATATGTTTAGAGTTATTCATATAAAAACACTTTTTCTAATATTAAATAATAAAATGCCCAATACTTTTACATTTTAACTCAATTAATACTAACAACTAATGACAAGATGTGAAAATCACAAAAAAATCACATTACTACCAAGGTTTTGAAAGGTGAAATCAGGCCTCGAGGCTTTCGGTGGTAGCCTCCCGAGGCGTAACGAGGCGTAAGCCTCAAAATTAGTTGCTTAAATGTTGCTACAAGCCTACAACATATCATTTAGTATAGACAAAATCTTGTTTCTAATTAAATTAAACTATCTTGAGCCAAGTAGTAAACTAGTAAAGTACGTAATATTAAACAAATAAATTACTAAGCTAAGTGATAGTTTTATATGATAACTTTAAAGTTTAAACCAAGGTAGTCAAAGGCGTTAGGCGCACTCAAGGCGACAGGGGATTTACAGCGCCTGAGGCAAAAGCGCCTGAGGCGCAAGGCGCAAAAAAGCAATCGCGTGACTCATGTCAGGCGCACTGCTTAGAAAAAATAACACACACTACTCTCCAACAATCAAACATGATGTATATAACACTATATTGAACCAACTACATTAAAAAGTCATGTTTCTTACAAATAAACTCACGATTAACCAAAATAAAGTCACGATTAACCAATTTGAAGTCATGGCTCATGATTCACTTAAAGTCTTAAACATTAAAAGTAGAACATAAAACATAATTAGATTTTAGTTTTCTAGCCCAATTCCCTATTTTCTGCAGGACTATTTGTCATGAAAAGACGAGTTTGTTTCTTCTCCATTTTCTAATTTATATCCTCCTACATCCTCTTCAATTTCTCCATCACTTTCCTCATCCACAAGCCTACCACTAGTACTTGTACTACGAATTGTGGACTGCCTACTAGTATATTTTATGGGTTCTTTTTTCATTTTTCAGCACTACGATTAACCAATATTCCAATATTTTTGTTGATTTAGCAGCTTCAGAACTCGTGGCTGAAGTTCCAACTTCCATGTCCTATAAAAAATACACAAGTCAGATATTATATATACAGTATATTTCCATGTATGAGTTCTAAATAATATATAATAACAACTAAATGGTGAAAAAAATAAAGACAATGGACTGGTTGTATCATAGTATGTATACAACTATGGACTGGTAGTATGTATACAACTATGCATGGTAAAAAAAATATAGTAGCTGAAGATATACATGATAAAAAAAATACAAGTAGCTGAAACATATACATGGTAAAAAATACAAGTTGTACACAAGTATACAACTAGTTTACATATATGTTTAAGTTGTTTACACTATAGAACTGACTACCTGAAACATACAAACAAGAGTTCTACAGAGTACAAGAAGAAGTATATGTTTGAGAAAATGGTGAAAAAAATATACTAGTAGTTTACATGGATAATTTACAAGGTAGCTAGGAGAAGAAGTATACAAGTAAGCAGTTAGTTTACTTATATACATGGAGTTTACTTCATGGTAGTGAAAGACGAACCCAAAATTTACCCAAAATTTACCAAATGTGTAAAATAGTCATATTTTATAGTTAATAAAACACAACCTACACATAACAAGATAAGCAGCCAGTTAATGTTAAAATGAGCATTACTTTAGCAGCTTCATTGCCAGGGTCGTCTAGTAAAATTGAGAGACACTATTCCAAAGATAAATTCGAGGCCCCAATTTGAATTTAAAGAAAATACAAGATTATTCTCAATACTTCATTACTCAAAGTAATTGGAAGCTGATTAATAAAAGCAACCCAATACTAGCAAAAAAAAACAACCCAATACTAGCAAAAATAGCAACCTAATACGAAGTAATTACTAAACAGAGTAAGAGAAGAAGTGTTTTCTTTCTCCAAATACTACATAGTCCATATTGTTCTCCATTACTCTGTAATACCAAATCTTATTGCTTCATCGTATTAATCAACTGTATGAATGAATTATACAACTATATACTAATACTCCGTAGTAATCTTTTTAAAACAAAAATCAAACAAAGAAAATAGTATCTAGATTATTTTACAGAGGTAAAGATTTGTTAGAAAATAATAAAATACACACCTTAAAATCGCAACCTCAGTCAAGCGAGGGGGTCTCAGCTCCGTACAACACGATGTTCACAATTCATAGCCTCTCAGTCAAGTCGCGGCCTCGCAGTTAAGTCGCCGGATCGGCTCGCAGTTGTCGATTTATGTTTCACACTTTCTCACATCGTCAGGGCCTCGGTCTCTTCACGCAACAGATCATAGAGGACGACGACTAGGGCTATAAGGCTATTACACGGGTCGGGGTCGCTGGGCTATAGTCTATTATTATATGGTTAACTGGGCTCAAGATTAAAAAAACTTTTACTGGGCTAAATTAACTGGGCTAAATTTTGACGGAATAATTAAAGATGTTGGAGTAACAAGGAATTTGTATTCTGGTCTCAAACCAAGAATGACGCATTGTAGTAAATCAAATTTTCACACAGAGAATTGATAGTAGTAAATCAAATTTCTGTTTGATGTGAGATAACATTCGTTTGAGCTCCACTAAACGAGCTAGGCTAGCGGACATAAATCAGATTTGTTGCTTACCTCAGATAGCAAAATAATTTTTAATAACAAACATATCACGAAAGAGTAGCAAACAACCAAGAGTGAAATGATTGATCTACTTTCAACAAGTCATAATACTCGATCAGGGCCGGTCCCGAGAAAATGTAGCACTACGCCAAAACTGCTTATTTTCAACAGATGAAAACAGTCGAAAAATGGTATTTTCGACTGTTTTGATCCGTCGAAAAAAGCGTCGAAAAAAAAGAGTCAAAAATTTATTCGACTGATTTCATTTGTTGATATAGCATTATGAATAACGACTGCTTTAAACCGTCGTAGTATATCAACATGGCATATCAGTTGAAAATAGCTTAGTGTATAAAATTATTATTTAGTTCTAGTAATATGTATTTAGATTTTATTTATCATACACATCAATTACAAACAAACTGCAATATAAAGCAAAAATAAAGTGGTAATTTCATTCATTCATCTATGAAAATGCTCTATTGAATTCGAGTGCTGGTCTCTAATATTTTGAGCATCAAGTACAATTGCTACACATCGTCTAAATTACACTTAACTAGTATTTGAAGAGTACCCACAAAACTAATATTCAAGTAGTGTGAAATGTAAGTACTCACAACCTAAAAGATGAATAACATAATAAAAATAGCACTAAACCAACATTTATTTGGTCCTAGTGAAGCAAACAGATGCTTTTGGTCAATTGATGAGTTCCCCATCAATCCGTCTTCAAACTTCTCATCAGTCTTACAGCTACTCACTATCATCCGAGATCTTATCGATAGTGATACAATAAACTTCTTCATTTGGCAGAGCTTTCAAACTTGAGCATCCATAAGCAATACCGGATTCACCTCTCTGTAATCATGAGAAACAATTAGTTAGTAATACATGTTAAGAAACACAACAATAAATTAGATCAAACACATGCCGCAGTAATTTATTATTTAATCAATAAGGTAAACGCATTGCCCTGGAGCTTTGAATGACTAGGTATTTGAAGGATTAGAATGAGTAGGTATATTTGAAGTGAATCATATGCATGCATTTGTGTTTAGAATAAGAATGGTTTTCTACTGACAAACTAGAACAAATAAATGATACTTCAGACCACAAAGCCAATCATGGATGAATGTAGATACTGTGAGCCGATATTCTAACTTGTAAAAATCAAAACTTTGCCAACCTCAAAAATAAATTGCAAAGGCAAACTCCTCATAATTGGTAATTTTAACAACAAAAAACCACATTTAAAATTGCCAAGGACCAAAGTATTTTAAAATTCAGATACTAAACCAAGTTCATATTCAAGTAGGGCTTGCAGTGGATGAGCTGGTCAGCAAGTGCCTCATTGTTCTAACGCTACAACTAACAACATGTCATCATTAGAAATAGCCATATTCATTAAACTTCTCATATTCAGATACTGCAACTAACAACCTGTCATTAATTTCACATTAACACTGCGACAGCCAAAAAGTTTGCCAGTCGATTGTTCTAAAGCTTACCAACTGCCCCTAGCTTGCTTCTTCCTGAAGCTTACCAACTGCTCTTAGTGTGCTTCTTCCTGAATATCATTTAGTAGTTGATCATTAGAAAAAAGAGTATTTTGGAAACAAAAGAACAAAAAAGGCTAGAAGTCATACTTTATAGTAGTAATAAACTAATAAGTAATAACTAACTCACCATACACAGTCGTGCATCTCACTATGTAGATCTATGGTGGAGTATTTTTTCAATTCTAGAATGATAAAAGCAACCTTTTGGAAGTTAGATTTAGAAGTGGAGAGTTATACTTTAACCAAATGTGAACTCCGTAAGAAGTACCATAAATTATTTAATTTATGAAAATGAAAAACCTTTCAACAAGCTTCCTGTCAATGAGGCTATAATCAACTGCAAGAACATGAAACTGTGGTGGATTTACTGCAACAGCCATTTTCATATCTCCAACTCAATCTCCAAAACTGGAAGAGCAAGCTTATCTATGTATTTATTTGCTGCTAAAACTGATCAATAAAAATAAAATCAACAAACAGGGGAAAAGAAAAGAAAAGAAAAGAGGATATGTGTGATGGGAAAAATATAATAACTAGTAACTCACTGGTCAAGGATTTAGATTGAATAAAAACTAGTAACTCACTAGTTGCATACTCCGTATTAAACTAGAACTAGTTAGTGACTTTCATTTAGATTAAGATTAAATTAGTTTCTGATTCATTAGAATTAGTAATAAAAATAGTTACGAATTGAATAAAGTTAAAGTTACTAATTCAATAAAACTGAGTTAAAATGAAACCTAAAGTTTAAATGGCTACTGACATATCATGTTTTGAATCTTGGAGTTTAATCTTTAAATGTGTCCTGCAGTTTCAATTTTCAAATATAGATCAACTATCTATGAGAGCTATAATACACAGTGATAGTCCATTTCATATGTTTAATAATCATAGGGTACTCTTTATGTGTTTTTAGGTAAAAATAAATCTAATTCCTACAGATATACTAGTATATTTCAAAGTATCTTTAGAAAATTTCCTAACAGTTTAATCCTAAAACAAGAGTAGAACATATTTTCATTTTAAAAATTCACAAATCTGGAAAATATTCACTTCACAAGTCTTTTAGTACTTTTATCAAACAGTTAGAATGCATAACCAAAACCACATATCAAGTACATTAATCGAACAGTTCAACACAATCCAATTTAGATATTACGAACACAACTTAGAAGACCTAGATTTAGACAAAAATAGTTTGGGTTTGAACTAATGTGTCATAGAAGAAACAACATCTCCATTTTTACATTCGAACAATGAAAAACAAGCAACGTATAAGATCGGGTTTTGGAACTCTCGTACCTGGTTGTGTTGTACACAGGGTCGTCATTATCCTTTCTCTTCTTTTTTGTAGTACCGATGAACCAGACAGCTGCAGAGGTCACTTGAATTTCGCTTGACGAACTATAGAGCAGTTCTTAGATTTAGGTATTCAGAAAAATGTGAGAGCCAAAAGAGGATTTTGGTTTTCATTTGGCGGGCAGAGAGAGTTTGGAGCGAAACTCTAGGTTTAGTAGTGAAATTTTGTTTTCGCTGCACGCCGTAAAATTTTGTTTTCTATACTTTTCATACGCCTAATGCCACATTACAAGCCTATTGACGTATTTGGTCAGTCAAAATTTGATCGACTGTTTTTGCTAGTCAATTTTTAAAAAGAACAAGTGTCGAAAAGACGCAGTTTTGGCGTAGTGTAGACTCTGTGCGAGAATAAAATTTGGGCATTTTTCCAAGTTGCAACACACGCAAATAGTCTTCAAATACACTGTATTTTATACATTTGCTAAACACATTTACACATTTGGATGTCCATAATCCATATATCATTTGTACATAAGAACCTTAAGGTAAACAATAAAACCATACTACATCTTTTATGGTGCTTTATATGACTTGTCTACACTTAAATGTGTTTCTACTTCTTTTATACCATAACACTGACCGGATGTCACATGATTACAAACCATATCATAATTTAAATCCTAACTAAATGTGGGAGATTTCTTTTTCATGTCTTTTCTTATTACTTATATACATATAGATAGAAATGGGCGAGTCCCCACTCCTCAGTTCCCCACTAGATAGATGAATAGCACTAACGGATTCCTCTAGATTCACACCTCCTTCGCTAGTCACAATCCAAATTAAATTTCACAGGAACTCACTAGAAGAACAACTTTGGGTTGGACATGGTCTATTTAGTGTGTGGTCCAAAATTTTTAAATTTTAGGTCTATTCTCACATCACTCGAGTGCAAGTACTGGGAACAAGCAAGTAAACTAGAAAAGGAAAAGAAATAGTGAAATACCGGAAGGGAGGCGGGTCGCGGTGGGGTAGTGGCGGCCCGGGCCGCCCGGGCCGCCCGGCTGGCGCTTGGTGGCAGAGGCAGACCACTGGCTGTCTGGGCGTCTGGCTCAGTGGGGCGTCCGGCGGGAGCCTTCACGGATTCACGCGGCGAGAGCAGTGGGGCGCCGGCGCTACCTACTCTCCAACCTTCGTCCTTCAGTCCTTGATTTCCGAGAAGTGGGGTGCGGTTTGCGGCTTCGTTGGGTCTGATCGAAGATGGAATCGGGAGTGGCTTGGGGATTTTGGGCGTATGTTGATGGCCGATGGGTTAAAGTTGGGCGGATGAATTTGGGTTGGGTTCTAATACTAAATTTTTTTTTGGGCCTTCCAAAATTTCGGGCCCTGTGGTTGAACTGGGCAGTCATCCTGGGCCGGCCCTGTACTTGATATAGATGAAAAAATTGATTGATAGACTGATAACCTAACAATAGAAGTTACTAAGCCGTTCAAGAGAAATTAGGATGTAGTTCATTGAAGTGATTGAACTGAAAATTTCTAATATGGTCTAATCTAAACGGGTATATTCTCAGTGGCGGGGTCAAGATTGACAAGTTACAGGGATCGGGCATAAAGAATTTATATAGCAGGGACCAAAACCTAAATTTTTGCTATATTTTTTACTACTTATAAATATTTATACATATATATACATCACAATTTTTTTCTTGGTAGGGCCATGGCCACAAGTAGCCTCTCCTGTCTCCACCCCTCTACATTCTCTCATAAATTTGTAATTGGAAAAACGTGGTTTTTTTTGGGTGAACTATGTACCGATAGTAGAAATTAGAAAAATAGGA